GTTTGTTTTGGGCTTTTAAGTCGGTTAGGTGAGGTCACATTGTGATTTGATTTTTTTTCCTGAGTTAGGTAGATTCTGCCGGAGAACAGAGGCAATATATTAATTCCTAGACTAGAGAACACAAGGGAATACAGATTGCAATAACCTGATTGTGCATGTACTACAGCAGAAGGCAAAACATGTGGTGAACCATTGTTCAAAAATATGCAAGTTCTCTCTCAGAACTTACAAGGATTTTGTTGATGTAGCTAGTCTCACCCCGGGAAGACATGATGCTCGGTTCGACAGTTAGTGTAGCACAGTGGTCGCGTGAAGGTGAGCAAGGACGACTCCTAGGTAACTCCATAATAGTTTATGGAAAATGAAATTGGATTTTACTTGCTAGAAGACAACACAACACCACCCACATCACACGAAAACCAAATATGCGAGCGCACGCGCTATTTGTGTTGTGGTGTGCAATTCACTGTGTGTATGCTGTATTTTAGAACACAAGCGGGAGTCCATCTTATATGTTGGTCTCCATCTCTTTGGCTTAGCCATGTGGGACTAAAGTTTGCTAGCACTTTGATATTTTTTTTCCTTCAGAATTTCTGTTGTGCCACATTCACTGAAATTCCAACAGATTCCACAGAGTTGATATCATGTTCTTGTCATGGATGAGTTAGTCTTTGTTCTCACCGGCTACAAAATGTGCATGTTGCACAACAGGTGGGTGAGTGGGTTGGTGGAAGAATCAGTCCTCTTAGGAAATGGTCATGAAAATCAACGGAAATTTCTTGTACGATTAAAATTATGTCTTCGTCATACGAATTCTTCCAACTCAGAGCAGCACCAGCTGTTTTGTTTGACATTTACTTTTTTTGTCAGTGTTTCTAGGCAATTGCACACCACATGAAATGTATAAACTGAAATGTACCACGCGTTTGCGTTCGAAATGCACGTTACCACATCAGGAGTTGGGTTGCTTCTGAATTGCGGAATTTGCACAGATGGTTAGCGAAACCAAAGATGATATGTTGCATACGCATGCACGAGGTTTCACACTGCCAACTAATCTTCAATATATTACTCCCTCCGGTCGGAATTACTTGTCACAAAAATGGATGTATCTACAACTAAAATACATCTAGATACGTTCATTCCTTCGACAAGTAATCCCGAACGGAGGGAGTACATCTTCGAGCTGCTATCCTGCTCTTGATTAATACTCTCGTTGACCAACGGTGCCAATAAGCAGAGTTGCCGTTTGCTAGCTGACTTATACAACAAATAATTATTATTGGTTATATGTACATAGCCCCCCACCCCACCCAACCAATCACCACCAACTGTTGATATGATTCAACCCTGAAATAGGGAATCCCTTCAGTGTTACAACAATTCTCCTGTTTCTGAATCCATTCGGGTTTTGGCTGCACCCGTCCTTTTGAGTAACTTGTAAGCTTGATTGTGTCTCTCAGTCAATGAAGCTTCCAGATTTATTACTTTTTCTTATCTTATCTTCTCTTAAATCATGCAGATGCAGTGAAATTTTCATTTTTGGCCGGTTTCTATTGGATTGCCCATATGCTCCCAAGAGCCAAATTGGATTTCCGCTGCTTTTATCCATTCTGTGGCACTCTCTGAGCAGCGGCTTATCAATCTACCAGTATTCAGGTGCTTTCTCCACTTCTCATAGCTCTAATCCATCGGTAATCGCTCTCTGCCAAAACTGAACCATTCTAGTTCCATTTTGATTGACTGAAGCAACTTTCTTTTGATAAGCATGTACTCAACATTTGTTTCCTTCTCTATCTGAACAGTGTGGATCTGAGGTTTTCTCTTGGCAATTGACTTCTGTATTGAGATGTTAAGAGTAGTGATGGCTTAACCACAGATCAAACTTCTTCATGAAGGTGACTATATCTAATTCTTGTCCCTGACTGATTTTCGCTTACTGAAATTTTATTTTTAGGTGAGAACTGCAATTTTGTTTCAAATGGTGTGCCTTTGCTTACATGATGTTAATTCAATGAACAATGTTATCACAACTTTTAAGTAGTGAAAACTGTATTGGCCAGTACTGACCTTATTAGCGGGTCTGGTAAAAATTGCAAGGGCGTGTGCCATATCTGATTCAAAAAAAAAGACATATTATTATACCTGTTTCAGTTTTGAACTAATCCATGTGATAACTGGGCTATAGAAACTAGCTCCCCGAGTATTCTATTTTTTT